ACCTGGCTCTTCCTGGCATAGGTGCCACACACCACCTGGCTGCTTAGCCCTCTTTGTTTTATTCCTTGGCTTGACTCGATTTTCTTGAAGCACTCATGATTTATGATTTGTCTTTCTAAACTTACATATAATATCCTGGTGTCTACTTAGTGATTTGACAGTCAGTTGCTACTTTGGGAGGGTACCAATAGTCAGAGGATCTATATTTAAGTCTTGATTCTTCCACTTATCAAATGGTGCAAGGTAAATTAACCTAATCTTCCTAAACTTCTGTTTTCTCATCTATAAAATGGGACTAATAACACCTACCTTCTAGGATTGCTGTGAAGATTTGTTGATATATACATTTCAAAATGCTTAAATGTTTCCAAGTGTTGATTTTTCACACTCTTAACACCAAACATTATTGTGTACAATGCTGAAAATTTTTAGTGTGAGATTACTTCAGTCATAAATGTATTGAGAACAGATAACATGTTCCACATACAAAAAGCATTGAGAAGATTAGAAATACAGTCTGGTTCAGAGCCCCCTCACACACACACACACACACACACACACACACACACACACACACACACACTGAGACATATACATCAATAAAACTCCATCCTTGACAAAGGATGTGTTGTGGAAGGGACCTGTATGCTATCTTAATATCATGTTCAGATTTTCAGGTAGAGCTAAGGTCCTTGAGATATAAACTATGTCATATTTTTTCCTTTATGGTTCCCAACTCTCCTTGAGCATAGGAGGCATTTAATCATAATTTGATAACCAAATAAAACCTCATTTCTGTTAAGTCTATATAAGAGTTCTACCATCACCCATGACTTTTTCTAAATCTTTCTCTATTATTTTAATTGGAGCTGTATCTTTATTTCACACAACATCTTGGAATTCTACAAGCCTGTAGTCCATTGCTGACAGTAACATTCCTTTTCTTTGTAAATATAACTTATGATTCAAGGGTTAACTTCCCCTACTACCTAATACCAAACTTGATTAATAAGATCATATTAATTTGCCAACTAATATAAAATGCTATATCATGATCATATTCTTTCATAATTCCAGTCTGATAAAAGGTTTATCATTATTTGAGAATGCCTCCTTCACGCTTATTCCAAGTTATTCTAATATTTAAAATGTTGTCTGATATTTCTTAATATGTATTTCATACATTAGCAATGAAGTCTTTCTGTGGCTATTTTCATCTACAGGTTGGTTTCTCTAGCGATAGCTGTTGTTATCCCTGACCTGGAAGGACATGTAGTGAACAATAGTCTTAAAATGTGGATTGAGGCTGGATGTATATATAAAATTAATGAGGTCCAGTGTGGCTGCTCGATTTATTAATATTTTTGCAATCTTAACAATCAGTGCTGATGGCTATGTGGTCAGTTTTTGGGGGTGATGTTGCTGCAGGCTCTTCTGGTCATCCCAGATAACTGCTGCCTGGAGGGAGGTTATGATTGTAAGGTTTGTGTCCATTTTGTGAGTCAGAAATACAAGTATCCCTAGTTATCAGCATCCTTTCCATATGCTGCTTCTGACTGACACCACAAAATACAGGGGATTATTCTAATTCAGAACTAGTGAGTAGGTTGGGCTGTGTCACTTATGAGCTGACAGAATCTGCTAGCAAAGCAAATAGCCTGCAATTCACAGATTTAGGAGGCATTGGCAAAAGCCAGAGGAAGAAGAGGAGTGAGAGTTACGGTTCTCAATGTGGAACAAACTTCTATTGGTGTCAGAGGGTAGAGGACAGCAGGGTCCACAGAAATAGAAGGATCTTATAACCATATTCCCTATAATAAAAAAAACTATGAAGAAAAATGACTAGGTATTTCCATGTAGGCACCATATAGTACTGATCTATGCGAAGAAATGGATGCCACATTTAACTCCTAGCTCCACAGAATTTGTTTCCTCTTTTTTTTGTGGGGGGGGTGGTGGTAGGGCAGGGGTTGGCAGGGACTATATAGCCTAAGTCAATATAAGAATGATTCTTTTAACAGAAATAAATTATAGACAACCATATTAGAATAAATCCATTTCATAAATAAAAACATGTCATCAATTAGAGACCTCTTTTATTATTATTTGGTTTTAGTCAAGGAGTGAATCACATTAGGGTCATACATGCAGGAGCTTCTAGGTGTGACTCAAATTTATATATCCAATAATTAAGGTTATGTTCATATTAGGTCCCTACTGTGACTAAAATACCCTTCTGTTGTAAATACCTGTTTATGTGCTGGATTCTTCTCCTTGGCTCTGACCTTCTCAAGGGCAGAGATCGTTGGTTACCCAGTTTTGTCCCTAATCATTCAGCCAGCATACAGCTCATCTTTGTAGCAATTTAATGAATATTTTCAGAATTGATTTGAATAATTGATAAAGCCCCTCTTCATACCCCAGAACTCTGCAGGAAAATTACAAAAGTACATTCTCTAGAAATATACACCATCTCAGAAGTCACTCTCCCACAAAGTCAGCTTTGCAAAAGTCCTTCTTCCAGCCATCTGCAAATGAAGACAGATTCTTATGTTGTATTTGAGGTGTCAGCACTTCTAAAACTCACAACTACAGAAGAAAGTAAGCTTTAGATTTCTCCAGTAATTTCAGAAAAGTAGCTTTCCCCAGAGGGAAGAAAATTCCCTCAGGGAACATAGTTTTCTTTTTTACTGGCCATAATAACCTGCCTGGCTGATCCGAGTAGCAGGGGTTGGAGCACTAATGCTCCACTCTGGTAAGGATGCACATGGTACTGCTGGCCAGAGGCCCAAAATGGGCCCACACATACAGAGCATGGATACGCTGCATGATTCAGCAACATCTGTGGCTGTGCATTCAGATACATTAAAGGGCAGAGAACTGGAAGCTAATTCACTCAGAAAGACAGCCATAAGGAACATAAGCATATAGTGCCATGGAGTGTCTGAATTTACTTCCTGGAGACTTTTTCCCCTGAGTCTAGCCAGTTGAAGTCCCTGGTTAGTTTCCCTCTCAACTCTTCAGAAGGAAAATAGTCTTGGTTTTGGTCAATGGAGCACAACAGGGATTTAGTAGTCTAGGGAGTTTCTGAGTCCTTTGGAGAATGTATCTATAACAAATATGTGGGCAAATTGATTTGAGTCGTAATGCTGAAGCTTGCAAGGCAAGAAACTGTTTTATTTTTACACAGCGTATATACTGATTAGTTAAAAATAAAGTTGTTAATGTGATGCAGAAAAATATGTAATAATGACTTTGAGAACTTAGCATAAATGTTGATAGGCTTGAAATATGAGACAGAAGAATAAAAGTTGCCATATCCATGATATTTTATGTCCTATTATCTTATGTCAGAGTTGGAGATCATTAAATTTATTGCTCAAGCTAAAGTTTGTTCAGTGTTTATTTAACTCATAGTTTTATTAATCTGATTAAAGTATGTATTTGGGATAAGCCAAATTCCGCTATTACATGAAATATAAGTAATTCCCAGAATAATCAAGTATGACTGCTCATTTTAACCTGCATTTAACTACAGTATATTTCATCCAAATTCAGGTGCAAGCCACATAGTGTAATGCAAAGGAGTTCAAATTAAAGTTTCAGGGGATGCCATTTATTAGCATCTTCATAATTTTAAAAAATACAAAAAACTTGGACACATTAAAGAGAAAAAACTACCATGCCATTTGGACTATCAGTTTGCATAGCCTACGTTGTGATCAGTGCATCTCCTTTGCCATAAACTTGGGGTGGATTATAGAGAAGTTAGTATCAGATTGACATACTCATTGTAGGAAAATTTATATTTAGAGATATAATTTCTTGAAGAGGGCACTGAAGGGGTCTTACCAATGCCTATGTTGGGGGAATATTACCTGGACACCATTGACCTTTATACTATTTCTTATGTACCTAGGATATCACTATTAAGTGCTGTGTAGGATTCAAATATCAGAGAAACCAAGCCGATTTAGCCTTTTCTTTTGAGGAATTTAAAACAATTAGACTTAATTGCTTTTAAAGGACTTGTGTGCATAGAAACTGCTAGAGAGAGTAGTGTAAGAGAAACATACAGAGGAAGAGTTAAGAGTTCCTTAAGTCAAATTAGAAAAAGAGAGACAAGTCTTAGGTCAAACCTACATGAGGAAGGAAGACTCTGACTTGCAGAAATAGAAGATGCAAGAGATAGGCTACAGATTCAGAAAAAGAGTGAAGCAGAAGTAGGTACAACATACCCTAAGAATGGTGCAGCCATGCCAGCCTACTTAAGAGTGAGGGCCTCTGGTGGTAAATCCAGAGGACAATTAGTGTGAACTTAGATACAGCTGAGTCCCATACTGAAGCCCAGAGAGTTTAAAAGACTTTGCCTGGCACATTACTAAAATGTGACAGTGATGTGACTCAACTTTAAATGCTATCCCCAATACTATACGGCTGTCTCTTTCTAGGTTTAATGGAAGTTATGTCTCTATGTTGTACAAGATTAAAGTGGTGTTGACTCTTGCTCAGAACCATCCTATCACAGTTAGAGGATTAACTGTCAAGGGAGTTATCTAACAACATCTGAAATGACCCAGACATACTCTAGCCAGCTTACCTAGAAACCATTAGTTTGTACTTTCAATGGAATCTTTATATTTCTTTCCCTTAAATTCCATCCTGACTTTAATGGATGAGATATTATTGCTGTGGTGTGTTTTATTTCCTAAAATATGTAACAGTGCATAAATAGGACATGTAGCTCTCCAAACTCAGTTTGTTATATAGCACAAATAATCCCACAGGAACAGTCTGCAGCTGACATGCAACCTCACCTCCCCCAAATCTACTAATGTAAGTGATATGTCAATGTAAATTGTACCATTATCACGTTATATGCTAACGTCAGTGTGGTCGAATTGTCTATGGGTTGCCATGACAACCCCAGCTATGGTAAAAAGATAAAAATGAAATGTATTCACAATATATATTTACCTAGAGTTTATTTTGTCTTCTAGGCTCTTCAATGGCCAACAAGGAATTATTATTCAAAATTTTAGCACAAGATCCATTCTCACTGTTACCAATGTGACACAGGAGCACTTCGGCAACTATACTTGTGTGGCTGCCAACAAGCTAGGCACAACCAATGCGAGCCTGCCTCTTAACCGTAAGTAATGCAGTGGTGCCAAAATGCTTCCAGGGGCCTCTGGGCCCCCATCCATCAGTAGAGATAAAACCTATGAATGGAGTATGTTCATTTTAAAACTCAACCTGATGTGACCCGTTCCTTACAGGTGACACATTCCTTACACACGGAAACTTTGCCCCCAAATCAGATAGTTTTCCAAGAATTTTACAATCCCTGTAGAAGTTTACATGTGTATACAAAAATATTAGAGCTGAGAAAGGAAAACATACATAAATAATAAGGCTAACTGAAAAAGTGTCTTTTGGCTTAAGTCAGTAGATTTGGTGAGATTTGGCTTTGTTTTCTGTTTTTTAAAATATATTACATAACCTTGAGGTATCAATTAACATGGCTTATATTTTACTTTTGGTTGGTTTTTATCAGACGTTCATCTTGGAATAGCCAGAATTTCACATGCCATACATAAAATGAAATAGTAAGTAAATGATCGTGGGCAAAGTATATTACCCATATAGATAATATTTTTACTCAAATTTGTATTTTAAAATACAACTTAAGATTTTATTCAAATAAATACCACATTTCTAATGTATCTTACTTCCTAAGGACTAAAAATTAATAAAGAAGCACAAACACAAGGATTGGGTAAATGGATAGAAACCTCCATGAATGTTTCCTCCTACAATTAATTTTACTGCTATTTAGAAGCTGAGTAACCAACAAATTTCTGCAGCCACAAAATATTCTTAATTTTGAAATCAAATATTTTTCAAAATGTTCAAAGAGTATACTGAGAGTACTGAGTATTCTGAAAGTTTACTACAGAGAGTATACTGCATTTTCAGTGCCACAAAGCTGTCTGAATTATCCTTATCTCTTATAGTTAATATGTTATAGTAAGTTGACAAATGTATATTTGTCTTATGATCCTATTATAGTAAGCTATCCCTGAAGAATGCAAATATTGTATAGTTCATCATAGACATCATTTCCATTTTGCAGACATGATAATGGAATATATGGTGTTCCTACAACTTGAAAATATACTGTAGGGCCAGCCGAGGTGGCTCACACCTGTAATCCCAGCACTTTGGGAGGCCAAGGCGGGTGGATCATGAGGTCTGGAGATCCAGACCATCCTGGCTAACTCAGTGAAACCCCATCTCTAGAAAAATACAAAAAATTAGCTGGGCACAGTGGCACACGCCTGTAGTCCCAGCTACTCAGGAGGCTGAGGCAGGAGAATCACTTGAATCCAGGAGGTGGAGGTTGCAGTGAGCCAAGATCATGCCACTGCACTCCGGCCTGGATAACAGAGCAAGTCTCCATCTCAAAATAAATACATATCTATATGTATTCTGTAATAAGTTTCAATGATTTATGAGCTTTAAATTACCATAATTTAAGAACTCTGATGTTAAATAAAAACATATCAGTTATATCACATCTTTTATTATCCTAGCCTAATATTTCATAGTACCCAATTTGAAAGAAAGACATTGATTGTCATGCAATAGATATAGTATAATATGCTTGCTTAAGTTTATTCCATGGGGATGATTTGTTTAGTGAAATTATGAATAATATAAATGATTGAAAATATTATAAAGCAGTCTGAATTCCAATTTAATGTAAATATTGATACTTCTTTGGTATGTTATTAATATTTTAAATGGTTTAAATATTCAAGCACTTAAAAGAATAAATGAATTAACAAGGCAAAGTAAAGAAAAACTTAAGGCTTAATAACATATTAAGTTTTGCTATTTAAATTTCTAAATTACATTCTGATTTTCAAAACTGAAACATTAATGAATGTGAAAAATTAGGGACAAATATCACTTGTGTAAATGTTTGTTTTGTTCTGGCAACCTTAATACAAACGTCTGGAAATAATACACTGCTGAAAAGGCTTCTAAACCGTGGTGCCTTCAGAAGGAACTCTAACCATCTCTTTCTGCCACTGACTTGCTGTATGTTGAGGTGCTACTAAGTACTAATACAATTTGATTAATTTGTTAATAAAGGCACAATGTGGAAATCTGATCTGTAATTATGATCATAGCCCCAGGAGTTTGAAGAAATTTCCATATATTCAGAACCCATTGTATGACCTTCTCTGAAGCTCTTACTGCACTAAGCATTTTTATTTTGTCTTCTCGTTATTTTTTATATATTTTCTATCTTTCCATCAAATTATAACTTATTTAAAAAGACAGGATCAGGCCGGGCATGGTGGCTTATGCCTGTAATCCCAGCCTTTTGTGAGGCCAAGGCGGGCGGATCACGAGGTCAAGAGATCAAGACCATCCTGGCCAACATGGTGAAACCCCGTCTCTACTAAAAATCCCCAACCACAGCTCCTGCTATTTAATAGGAAATTAGTATATCTTTAGTGAATAAATGAATTAAACATTGAATAAATGAATGAATGGATTAATGAATAAATAAATGAGTGAATGAGCTTTAGCTGTAGAATTTGTACTTAGAATTTGTATTGTACTCTACAGGTACAAGACAGTATGACTGTAATTACAAATGATACCTTGTTAACTTACTCTGAAACAGACTCTATTCTAATTTTTTTAAAATATGAACTTGTTCATTTGATTCTCACACAATCCAAAGAGCTATATTCTGTAATTCTTCTCTTCTAGATAAAGAAACTTAGAGAATATAAATGTGGCTGAAGCCAAATGGTTAGTGACAAAGCAAAACCTTAAACCCTGACAACCTGGCTTCTGATTCCAAGCTTTTAACTGCAATGCCTACAACCGTCAAAGCACTAGATGTAGGAAAGAAAAGGATCAGTAGGACTGGAACTCCATCCTGAAGGAGTTCTCAGATGAGTGAGATGTGAGAAACAAGCAAGCAGGTAACTATAATGTAATATGGTCAGTGGTACCATAATGGGGTGGAGAAGATGCTCTTACTGTAGTCTAAAGGGTCATTAAAGAATTTTCAACTAGAGTAGCCAATCCCACTATTTGAATTATAACTAAGGTACAACTCAAAACATCATCTTAGCAATGACTGTGTCATTTTCTGGGACACCACTTTGCAGAGCTCATTCAACAACAATCATATGCACAAAGTATAGTGGCACAAATAAGAGAATGATCAACTCAGTCTCAACGACTCAGAGAAGAATATAGAGGAGATGCCCCTTGAGCTAAAGGTGATTAGGTTGAGCCTGGGTGTGGGAATGGTGATGGAAGAAAGAGAGAGAAGCAAGCACTCTAGTGTGGAACCGCTTATGTAAAGACATGGCAGTATGAAACAATTCAATACATTTGAAGACACTATCGTACTTTAATATGGCTAGAATAAAAGGTAGAAGGAGAGCATTGAGAGATGAGGGTAGACAAGTTGTCAGGGATGAAGATAAGAAGGGTTGAAATGAGTTTGGGCTGTATCTTGGGTTTAGAAAGTTATGGAAGGATTTTAACAAGGGAATGGTACAAACAGATTTGGTTTTCAAAAGACACTCTTAGGCAATGTGGACTGCTAAACCCAGATATTAAACTTTTAATACTAAAGGTAAAATAATAATAACACCAAAAAGAATAGCAGAGGTGAGAGATTGAGAGATAAATAGGAGATAGGCATTAATTACCAAATCTGGCAAGAAAAGGAAAGGAGTTGCAGGGATCTAGATAACTCCCAGTGTTTTGTTGGGGTGAAGTTAACCAGAATAAGAACATAAAAGAAGAGACAGAGGTTTTACATTTTAGGAGGAGTTAGAAATTAAAAGAAAACAATTAGGTTATTTGTAATCATTTTTAGTTCAAGGCAATATCTAGTAGGTAGCTGGGTATAAAGTCCAGAATGGAGACCTAGATTTAAAGTTATCAGAATGGACATGGTAATTTTAACCATGAGAGTAAATCAGACTCCTCATAGAGGCCGTTAGAGTGAAGAGATTACCAAAGACAGAAATCCAAGTAAAATTAGCATCAAGGAGTGACCCTAAAAGAGAAGTATCCTGCAGAAGCAAGCAAATTCAATGTGGATGAAGATGCCTGAGGAGGGTCAGCACTATGGATTGTTGTGAAAGCTGTGAGAGCAACCCATTTTGGCAAGAATGAAGAGTCAGCACTGTCCTGTGCTACATCTAGTCAGGGGACATCTGAAAATTAACCACAGTTTCTGACAATTGGGCAGTTAGTTACTGGTGACCTTTGCCAGAGTAGTTTCTGTGGAAAACTGAGAGTAGAAGCCAGATTTCTTTGAATTAAGGTTAATTACACAGATGAGGAAATAGAGACATGGGTAATAAACTGCTCTTTTTAGAGATTAGGCTATGGAAAGAAGACAAGACTAATGTTATGCCTTGAGGTCTAGCTGCTGGTCTGATCACGATTCCTTTCTGATTAATATGCCAGTGGCTGGGTGTATATCAGTAACTCCCTGACCTGCAAAGATATAACACCCTAGTATTTGATGAACTATACTACAGTGAACTTGCCATGTTTTCTGTTTTTTTTTTTTTTGCCAGTCTCCAACATTTTGAGCTTGTTTGCATTTTTCTCACATCTCTCTTGGGTCCCAGAGAAATAAGCAAAAGTTTTGATTTAACATGGGCCGAGCGTAGTGGCTCATGCCTGTAATCCCAGCATTTAGGAGGCCAAGGCTGGCGGATCACCTGAGG